GCCGGCGCGGCGGCGAAGACCTCGGCGAGAAACGGGGTCGGTGGCGAAGGGGCGCCCCGTAGATCTCGGTGCTGCGGGGTGAGTGTGGGCGCGCTGGATCACGCCCGCGTCGGTTCCCGCGCGCCGTTCGAGGAGGGGGCGGGGGGTTCTGGGGCGCTGGGCAGCGCGAAGGGGGAGGCAGCGCGCGGCGGTCGACATGGCATCGCGGCAGTTCCAGTGCAAGTATTGCGCTGCCGAGCTCGGGAAACAACGCAGTCTGATTCAACGTTCTCAGAGAAGTCAGCGTCGCCGATGGGTCACCGGGCTCCCGCCGAAGCTGTGTGTGCTCAAGATTCTCGAGACTGGCTGCAGTGATTTCGAGTGTGCTCCGTTGCTGAAGTTGGGCGGGGTCTCGAACTATATCGGTGTTGCCTGTCCTGGGCAGCTTGGGGCGCGTGCGGCGCCGGGGAGAAAGCGGCGCCGCGCGCGTTCTGAAAGGTGGCCGGGGGCTTGTTTTCAAGTGCGCGATGGAGTTGGCGCCGGAGGGGTTGGAGGCGCGGGCGGGCGCGAGTGGAGAGACCGAGACGCGCGTGAAGAAGTGTGCCGACCTCGCCCCGCAAGTGCCAGGCAGTGCGCCTCTCTGAGCTCGGCTCCGCCGCTCGACCCTCAAGGAAGGGCGGCCGTGGGCGTGGGCGTTCACGGTGCAGGATGTGCTCGCGACTTCAGGGCATGCCAGGATAATGTGTCTGCTTTTCGCAGCGCAAAATTATGTGCGTTCCCTCCGCATGCCCTTGATTGGCCTCTCTTGAGATGGTGGTTGGACATGGGAAGCGGGGGTGGCGCGGAGGATGGGCGTGGCGGAGGGCGCAGGAATGGTGCCATGCGTCAGCGCCGCGCTGGCTCTCTTTGGGGGGTAGCGGTGTTCTCGGCCAAAGCCACTCGGGGCCATCGTGAAGTTCCACCAGTTTCTTTCTTTTGAATTTTTGTTGCGGAGGATGTGGTGGTCACCATTATAATTAATGTGACCACGTGATTAAAAACAAGTGCGCCCCCCCCTCCCCGCCCCCCCAGAAACAAGGAACGCCCCGATTGGGATATTCGTCAGTTTTTTTTTGTTTTTTGGTTTTTGTTTTTGTTTTCCTTCTCTCTCTTCCCTCTTTCCTCTCCTTCTTCTTCCTTGTTCTTTTTCCGCTTCCGTTTTTTATTAGTATGTTTAAATTTGCCCCCCATTTCTGGTTTCCTTTTTTTGTCGGAAACACCGCGCGCCCAGGAAAAAAAAACACGGCCCGCCGAAGGCTGCCGAAGGCCCGCCGAGGGCCGCCGAAGGCAAGGCCGCCGAAGGTCTCCGAGGGGCTCTGAGGGAGGGCAGCCGAAGGCCTCCGAACGGCCCCTCCCCCCCTCCTCTCCCTTCCTTCTCTTGCTCTGGCCCTCCCCTCCCTTGCTCCGCTCCTCTCCCTCTCCTCCCCTCCTGCCTCTCCTCCCCTTTTCCCTCCCTGCTCTTGCTCTCCCCTCTCCGCTCCCTCCCCCCCCTCCTTTCCTTCCCCCTCCCCTCCCTTCCCTCCTCCCCCTCCCCTCCCTCCTCTCCTTCCCCTCTCTCCCCTCCTCCTTGCGGCCGCGGCCGCGGCCGCGTCCGGGGGGGGCCGCGGCCGCGGCCGCGGCTGGGGGGGGGAGGGGTCGTGAACGTTCGTACCAACCCCCTGTTCGCGGGCGAATGGGGGCTCCCACGGGCGGGGGCGAAGGTCACACGACCCCCTTTCCCTCCAGTCCTGAGGGCGGGAGGGTGGCGAGGGTCGTGACTGCCCGTCCCAACCCCCTGTTCGCTCAGACCCCGTGGTCCGCGTGAGGGGTGCGTTTCCTGGGCCGAGGAGGCGCGCGCGGTCGCGGGGCCGGCGGGCTGCCTGACGCCGCCTGTCAGGGGGAGAGAGAAGGCGGGGAGGAGAGGGGAGGAGGGGGGAGAGGGAAGGCGGAGAGGAAAGGGGAGGAGGGGCGGCGACGGGAACCACCTCCGGCCTCCCCCTCCCCCGCTCTCTTCCCCTCCCCCCCTCCTCCCCCCCGCCAGCTCCGCCGCCCGCTTCGCCGCCGCCCTGGGCGCAAAGCGTCCTGCGTCGCGGCGCCTAATCGTGTCCCACGCGCCCCCCGTGTTTTTTTGTATTGTTTTTGTTGTTGTTTTTGTTTTTGTTTTCTTCATATATATATATAGATATATGATTCTTTTTTGTTAAACAACGTTTGGTCACATTCTATAATGCACGTGTTTTTGTGCGGTTGGATGGAGTGGGCGTCAACGTAGACATGCTGATCTTTGGTTTGCATGGATGAGGTGAAATATATGATTGAACTGGAGGCAGCGTCTGTACATCTGATGGGAGTTCTTGGAGGTTTGCGTTTTTTGGTACTTATTCTGAGTTCGGGTTCGCCGGTGAATGGTATGTGGCGTGCTTCGTCGGGCTCCAGAGGTTGGTGCTGATGGTGTGAGGGGGAGCGGGCCATCCAGGCGGGGCCCCCTCTCCTCCTTGTCTCC